TTATTATTAATATAGTAATACTATTTTGATTACTATTAATTTATTATTTTATTAACATTAGGGTTTGGGGGGCCTTTTGTCATGAGTCCTTTATTTCTTGTATCTCGATAGACTCTCGTATAGGAATCCCAATCCCATTCCCGAGGGGAAGCCTAGAATGGCTATTCCCTCAAGAATGGGAATCGGCATCTCGTTCCATCATATGGGTGTTAGCACCTTAAATATATGACTTAATGAGAGAGATTTGAATTAGATGAAAAATAATAGTTGTAATTACATGTTTCGGCCTCATAGTTAAAAAGGGACTAAATCCAAATTACATTTTTTATATTTTCATGTGTATAAAAGTAATTCTTATTTATGGAGCTTGTTTTTATTCTATAAAATGAATATACAATTATTAGAGATGTGCTCAAATGTTTTTTTTTGCAAAATTTATGTATTTTTATTTTTTATTTTTTTATTATTTAATTATGACATCAAATATTGACACATTTGACCTAAGAGTTGAATTATTGACCCGGACCAAATAGAAAATCAATTTCATTTTTTTTGATTGATTTTGAATTTGTATTTCATTTCCATTATCAATAAAAACAATTATTGTTTATGACACTTATTTTTCTTTAATATGATTAATAAAATTCCAGATAAATGGCCAATTTTTATACATCTTTTTTTTGTGAATTTGTTATTATTTTAAATATTTTATTATTAATTATGATATCATGGAGTCACCTAATTAACCGGGATGGTTGAATTGGATTAATTTTAAAAGACGATGAATTGTTGAAACCTCCCCTAAACTTTTTGACCACTGTTGAAATATCCCTTGAAGTTTGGTAATTACAATCACCTCCTTGAACTTTCTAATATAGTTGCAAGTAGACCCCCTCTCTTACAATCCTCTAACAAGAGGCATTCAAATGTCCAAAATACCCATATAGTTACTATTGAGGTTGTTTTTTGCATAACAAACAATACAAACTTTATGAACCAAAAGAAAATTAAATTGCAACTTTGAGGGATTCATATGAAGGGAAAATTTATAAAATAAATCAGTTTCAGAAAAAAGATGAGAAGGGTTTGGGGTAGGGATTGATGTGAAGGGAAAATTTGAAAAATAAGCATTTTAGTCAAATTAACTACATGGTTATTTTGAACATTTTCGTGCCTCTTGTTTGAGGATTATAAGAGAAGGGGTCTACTTGCAATTGCGATACAATGTTCAGAAGGGTGACTGCAATTACCCAACTTTAGGGGAGGTTTTCAGCAATGGTCAAAAACTTCAGGGGAGGTTTTAGAAATTTACTCCTTGAAAAACATGAGTTTCATATTGTTAAAAAGTATTTGATAAACATGAGTTTCAAAATTTTTATTTTTATACTATTCAAATTAATGTTGTGTCTTTAATCAATAGAATTTAATGATGAAAAAAAAAATATTGAATATAGGGTTTAATGAGAGAATATATCCAATTAGTTTTAAATTTTACATTTAATTTCCATCATTAATAAAAATATTCATTATTTATCATACTTATTATTGTTTAATATGTCAATTATATGATGCTCAAATGTCCCCAATTATTTTTTATTTTTATATTTTTATATTTTTGCATTTTATTATTTAATTGTGGCGACATGAATTAACCCATTTGACCCAAAATGGTTTAATTTCTTACCACCACCTAGATGAAAACACTATTTTTTTTCCTAAGTAGTTTTTAAAAGTGTAAGTTTTTATGTTATTTGAATGATTAATTTATTATATATGGATTTAATTAATATAATTTATTGATAGAAGAAACAAAAATGTTTTAAATATATGATTTAATGAAGGTGAATGTAAGTTAATTCCTTAAATGTTGGATTTAATGAGGGGTAATTGAATGCATTGAATATCTTAAAATTACTTATTTTCAACTCATTTAATATCAATAACTCATTACCTTATTTGCCCTCATTTTTCATCAATAAATTTAAATATGAAGGGGCAACTTTTATCCTTAAAAAATTTCAGAAATATTCTCGAGGCTATTTGTACTTTTTAAAATAGTAGATGTGGCGAAAAGAAGTGCTATGCTCTCTAGATTTTACTCGAGGGGAAAATATCTCTTCCATTCATTTAAAGGGTTATCTTGTGAACTTTTACTCCAACTCCAACCTTATCTCATACTGCTCAGTTGGTAGAGCGAAGGATTGTAGTGGGGATATCCTATTAGTTATCCTTAGGTCGTTGGTTTGAATCCGACAAGTCTGAACCGTTTGACTTTACCTTTTTTTACTTCATTTTATTAATTATTTTGGGTAAAATAAAAAAAAATCTCCCCTGAAGTTTCTAACAATCATAAATGTCCTATAGTTTTATTTTAACAAATACTTCCCCTGAACTTCTCAGAAACTCAATACATGCCTCACTTCTGCCACTATCCCAGATGGAAAATGTTAGATTGATGCACCAGTTTTTTTTTTTCAAATATCCATTATACCTTTTTATAAATTGTTTTACATACAAAATTACTGAAATAATCCCATTTTAACTCAACAGAATACATATTTTAGTAATTTTGTATGTAAAACCATTGAGATGATCGTTAAAGGGGGGGTTGCTGAGTTAAAATGGGGTTATTTCAGTAATTTTGTATGTAAAATATTTTATAAAAGGGTAGAATGGGTATTTAAAAAAACTGGTGCATCAATTTTATATTTTCCATTTGGGACAGTGATGGAAGGGAGGTTTTTGTTGAGTTTCTCAAAAGTTTAGGGGAGGTATTTGTTCAAATAAAACTATAGGGGAGGTTTTTATGATTGTCAGAAACTTCAGGGGAGATTTTTTTTATTTTGCCCAATTATTTTAAGATGTGACACATCACATGTTGGGCCCCATCTTTGAGCGTAGGAGTGGCAATGAGATGGGTTTAGGGCGGGGATTACATTCCCCATCCCCAACCGGACCCCCAAATCACCCCATCCCCATCAGGGAAAGGAATTCTCCTCCATCCCCAACCTCGACAGGGATGAACTCCTTGTTGGAGACCTGAATTCCCAATGTGACTATTTGGGGATGGGGATTGGGGGCCCGAAGACTGATGAGAGAAAGAGAGTGAGAGAGTCGGGGGAGGGGGGGGAGAGAGAGAGAGGGAGGACTGTTGCAAGTTGAGGTCGATGACGATAAATAAAGGAAGATTGAAGAATTGGGTTTTAGTTTTCAGTTCTTTCTTCTTCGAGTCTCTCTATCCTCTGTCGAGTGGTAGTCGGCAACGAACAATAGACATCCGATGTCTGATGAGCGAGTGGCAACAACGTTGACGACGAAGACAAAGGAAGAAGAAGAAGTGAATAACTAGGGTTTAGGGTTCTCTCTCTGGGCGAGTGTTTTTAAGAATGAATAGTATTAGTTTTTGTTTTTAAGTTTTAATCTTTTACAAAAAAAATGAATAATATATAATATAATAATATTATAATGTAAATATTATATAAATAATATATAGTATTATATATTATATTATATAATTATATATATATATATATTAATTGGGGTCGGGGCGGGGTGGGGATTGCATTCCCCTCCCCATCCTCGAACCCGATTAGGGATTAAGGGATAGCCCCATCCCAACCCTGACCTCGCCAAAATACCCCCATACTCAACCTTGTTGGGTTGGGGATCCCGAGCAGCCGTTGGGGATGGGAAAAATTGCCACCCCTATTTGAGCGGGACCAATGTCCCATAGTCCCATTGTTAATAACTTTGATCTAGACCTGGCAAAAAGTTGACTTAACCCGCAAACTCGACCCAACCCAACCCGAAAAAACAGGGTTAGGGTCTCATATATTAGCTACCTGAATGTGAAAATGACCCGACTTGACCCAATCCAAAAAATTGGGTTGGGTCATGGGTCAACCCACTGACCCGATTGTCAAGTCTAATTGGGATTATTTATGCATTGTTAGAAGTTTCCATTCTTTAATTTTTTCTATTTAGTCTTTACTTTCTATTGTTTACTCTTTAAATTGTTAAATGTTCAAGTTTTTTATTTTATATTTGGAATTTTAAGGTTAATTCTTTTAATTTTGACAATTTTCATGTAATTTTTCTTTATTTTTTAAATTTCAATTATTTTGTGGAATGACCCAAATTGACCCATGGGTCAACCCTAATCTGAACATTTAAGGTTAGGGTCTAGCATTTGACAACCCAACTCGAAATTCAATCCGACCCAAAATCAACCCGAAGTACCTTGACCCAACCCAAACCCGACCCACCAACCCAATTGCCAGGTCTACTTTGATTGATACTTCACGAGGGAAAGGGGAGGGATTCCCATCCTCTATCTGATGAGAGTAGACCTGTTCATGGGCTGGGCCGGGCTTTCACTCTATTAACAAATTTTCCTAAGGCCCGAGCCCAAGCCTGACCCTCATAAAAAGCTCGAAGCCCAGGCTTGGGCCCAAGCCCGAAATTTAGCCCATGCTGTTACTATTGCTGAAGCGGCTAAATAGAGATATATATATATATATATATATATATATATATAGAGAGAGAGAGAGAGAGAGAGAGAGAGAGAGAGAGAGAGATTTATAAAGAAAAAAATAAAAAAAATGTATATATATTTAAATTATAAATATATATATATATATTTCAATATTATATTATTTATATATTTTATATAATATATAAAATACATATTATGCATTTTATAAAATATATAATATTGAGTCGGGCCAGGCTTTTTTGACAAATCCCGAGCCCGGCCTGAAATACAGTCGGACTTACTATGTTAGACCCGAGGTCAGGCCCTTGGGCCTAATTGCATGACCAAGCCCGACCAAGGTGCGAGTCGGGCCATCGGGCTACCCGGCCCATGAACTGGATGAGACCGAATCAGCTCCCACAAGATTCTCCGCCACAACGTCCCACAGCGCATCGGCATCTCCGATGATGACATCATCATTGTTGGTATTATCATCGTGAAATGTTGTCAATAGACGGCGGGGATGTGCTGTGGGACGTTGTGGGGGCTGATTTCTTCGTCTGGGCTATCTCTCCAGTTTTGTGCGTAACAGCGTAAGCGATAAGCGTAATAACCTGATTCGCGCCAACAAATTCAAAACGCGGTTCAGAAAGTCCAAATTTGTGTAGTTCCCGCCTGGTATTTGATTGATGGTATCGCGTATTCAAGCTCAATTTCTCCCATCACTTGAGGCTTCAGATAGGAAAACATCCGAAGTTTTCGTTTTCTTCATGTTCAAGGTCAGTGATTTGCATACTATTTGTCTCAAAATGTCTACGACGTCTTCGGTTTCATATATATTTTTTTCTTGTCTCAAGGGTTTCACGCATTCCTGGTTTTACCTATCTATTCCCCTCACGGACTTCATTTATGTTTGATTGTGAATTATTTTGTTTAGTTGATTTTGTTATTTTTTTGGTGTTCTTTTAATTCGAAGTTTTGAATCGACCCGTCATTGTTTTGTGGGATTAGTTTAGGGAAGTAAAAGAAGAAACAGGGTCGATCAATTTCTTTTTAATATTTTATACACCTGATTCAGTGGAAGCGTCGATTTTTGGATGCTATTTATATATACACATTTTTTTTCCTGTATTATTAGCTTGAAGTTACTGTGAATTATTGTTAGAGTTTAGGTTCTCTCTCTCTCTCCCTCCCTCCCCCTTTCGGTGGGAGTCAAAAGTTGTTGAATTGGAACATCAATACGGCATTTGGGAGCTAACCGTATTTTTGAGCATCCGCTTTGAAGCTGATTGGAGTTAGTCCCCAAGAATTGGTGATGAATAGAGATACCATTGATGGATTGATTAAAAAGCGTCCCGTTTTAGCTGATGTAACCAATCAGCATGGGAAAAGGGGATTCTTGTCAATTTCGGGAAGTTCTGGGCTCCAGAATTCAATTGGGTTTCACAGAAAGGTGGAAGACAAAATGGGGGATTCTGAGTTTGCCAAACAGGTTTGTCTGGGAGTGGAGAATCTAGTAAAAGGGAAATGCAAACGTGAATATGCTGACGATGTTCGTGGGAAGGGTTTGCTTTTGTTGAAGGCTAATGATTCTTCAAAGGATAACATTGCTTCTGGTAACTCAAGAATCCGCAGTGAAATCAAGGATACGTCGAGTCTGTTCAATGGTGATCTGCGCAGTGTAAGTGGTGATGCAACGATGCACAGAATTATGGAAAAAGACAATGAGCCAAGAGACGGCTGTATTTCTAGTGCTTCATTGCCTACAGGCTCTGGACAATTTGGCAATGTTGGCGGCTTAGCATCACTATTTCAAGGAGAGAGCCAAGATGGCAAAGAATTGGTTAGTGTTGGTGTTAAGGAAACTGCCGTTGGAAGAACTCCTATTAACGAAGCACTAGATCCTCGTGATCATCAAAGCAGTGAGGAACAGATGGCTGATGCTCATGAGTCATTAGAAGTTTCTGGTTTCTTTGGCTCATCAGCTTCTATGGAGTTTGAGCCAGAGAAGCGCACAGGTTTTAATGGTAATGGTGGCTCTAATGCTAGCGTGGATGTAGACTCACTGAAATCTTGCGCTTGTTCTTTCTGTCTTAAAGGTATCCTCATTTCCTTCTTAATTGATCTCTTCCTCTTATGCTTGATTATGTTTATACTTGAATTAGGCACGTCTTGAGTGTAGGAGTTATTAGTTTACATGTAAAGAAGTAAAGGTAATGTGTGATTTTATTTTTTAAAGTAAGTCTGCTTCCTTGTTTCTAATTTATCTGAAAGGATATAGACATTTTGTATTATTGTAACCAGCTGCGTATATTTTGTCGGACCTCCATTATCAGGATATCAAGGGTCGGCTAGCTGGTAAGCTCACCCAACATATTATTGAAATTAAGTTGGTCATTGCTTTATTTTGCTTCAATAAATGGTTTATTGATGAGTGTTTTTTTTTTTTCTAGTCTTTTGTTCAATTAAAAATTGACTAGTGATTGTATCATTTCTCTACTAGCCTTGAAGAGAACCAGGAAAGAAGTTAAATTATTGGTAGATAAAAGTTGGTATCAGTTTGAAGCAGACAAAAATGAAGGAAACCATGACAAATCAAACAAATTAGAATTTGATCTCATGGGCCAGTGGAGATCTTTGTTTCTTCATACGGAGAATATTCTTGTTCGTGAAAGCAGCCAGCTTGTGAGTCTCACACCCTCTGTCCTATATTCCATGCTTTCAATTCTCACGGTTTTTCAAAGTGGGGATGCATTCTTTATATCAGATGTCCAATTTGATAAATATAGAAATTATTGCACTAGTTGATTTGTTTTGGAGTATGAGTGGGTAATTAGGAGTCTAAGTGGGCTAAGCTTGAGGGTAATTAGGGATGTAAGCAGCCATGCTACTCACAAGCTGCTTGAGCTTGTCTCAGTAAATACTTGAGCTTGACTTGAATATAACCGAGTTCAAGTTGAGCTCAACTTGAATAGAGTAGTTGAATTGAGTTCGAGCTTCACAATACTTGGCTCAACCGGCTCACAAGTCTAATTGAGCTTATAATAAAATATTAGTTTTTTAATATTTTAATTTATAATATAAATAAATATTAATGTATTTATAATACAAGTAAATAAATTTATAATTTAGTTTCCTAATATATTTTTATTTATATTTAATATTAATTTATTTATAATTGAGGGTGGGCCTTGGTACAATAGTGGGGTTGCTCCATTGTGACATGGGTGACTAGGGTTCAAATCTTAGAAACAACCTCTCTATATGTGCACTTGTGCAGGGGGATTTCTCAACAGATTGGATCAGATCAAATTTGATCTGATAAGAGTTGAATTTGGATACCTCCCTTGGTCCTAACAAATTGGATCAAATCGGAAAAGTCAATCTGTTTAGGCAACATATTGAATTTGGATATACCCCGATATGATCCACCACAATCCGATCTGATCCGTTAGTTATGAAATATTATATATTATTTATTATTTACATATTGATATAATATAATATGATCCACCATGATCGCACACTATATAATATGTAAATAATAAATAATATATAATATTTCATAACTAATGGATCAGATTGGATCGTGGTGGATCATATTGAGGTATATCCAGTTTTTATTTATTTTTATTTTTCTATTACATGTCTAATCAGATCGGATATCTGATAAGATATTTGAATTTGAATCATGCTCTTGAAAATCCAATGGGTTCTTATTGGATTTGGATCAGCTGGATTTCTCAACAGATTGGATCAGATCAGATATACCTTTTACTGAATCCGGTCCAATCTGTTAGCAGCTCTAGTGGGAACCTCGTGCATTTGGCTGCCCCTTTAATTTACTTATAATAGGCTTGAGTAGCTTGTGAGTATCAACTGGAGTTGAGTTTGAGTAGAAAAATTAAAACTCGATCAAGCTTGAGTTGAGTTGAGCTCGAGTAGCACAATACTTGACTCAACTTGGCTTGATCACACATTAATTGGATGAAATCTGGAAATTGTTGCATTCTTTATCTTTTCATTATGGTTATTTTGTGTTATCCTTGATGAAGTCTTTCAATTTTGCATGGCAGCAATCAAGTCTTCTCACGTTAAAAGATTTGAGAGGGAGTTGCAAGACAGATCTGGAGATGATTAATGGGATGCCCTCTCAGAAATGAATACTTATGATGTTTGGGGTGGGGATTTGAAAGTTGGATCGTATGATATATAATGTACAAGGATGCCTGATTAAAAGTTCAAAAGATTGTTTATGGTTGTACCAGTTTCTTTATTTTTGTGAAACATTTGCAACAAATGTTTAGTACTAATAATAACTGATATTGATTGGTTGAAGTCTACAATCTTCTCTGATTCAGTATTTTGGATGGGTTGTGATAATATTTATATTGGTTCTCTAGCTGCAACTACAAGGGTCTTGGGATCATAGTTTGGATTCTGTACCATGGGACTGGGCTTTAGATTGAGCCATGCCCAAGGAGGCTAGAAATGGTAGGTACCTTGCAGATACGAGTCATCGATTATCCTCATGGTCTACCTGGTTGAGGAGCTAGATGTTTCCCTTCCATAGTTGTAACTTAGTCCGTTGTACCTGTGCTCTTTGAGTTGATCAGTTACCAATTAGAAATTTTTAAAAGGTCATCTGGAGTCTTGGGAGGGATGGACTGGACTGAATAACCACCAAAATTAGCATCTTGGTAGTTGGGGCCTGTTATGTTCGAGGTCTTTATCTGTCTGCAAAACTGAAAAGTTTGATCCCATTCTGAAGTATAAACTATTAATCATTAGGCCTATCATTCATGGGTAGTGTCGTAGGGACAACATTCTTTTTAAGGAAGTGAAACAACTTGGTCAACAAATATGATTCTAAAATAAAAAAAAAGAGAAAACCCTAAAAGTAACACCATCAACCCAGGCAACTGTAGCATTTAGTGAGATACTGCAGTTTCATATATAGTAGCACTTGGGATGGTTGGTACTTGGTGTTGGTGCAGTATATTGGTATGCTAAATAGCTGAGTGTTAAGTTCTGCAAATACATGACCAGATGTCTAGATAAACCAGTTTATCTGTTGGCATCATAGGCAAGGTTCAAAGTATGAGAGTTTTATTGGATTGATGCTCATCTATGTTTTTTTTTTTTGATATGTAATGCTCATCTATTTTTTTTCTTTTTTGCACGACCATTTCTTGGTGGCTATGTTTTATGACTCTGAGACTGGTACTCGAACCTTGATCATCTAGTCAATATTATTACTATGAAGCCATACAGGAGTGTACTGAACTACCGATGCATCATGTATGCTGAATGTTCATGTTTCAGTTGGTAAATGATGATGTATTAAGTTTTGTATACAAACAATAAAAAAACATTTATTTCTAGAAGGGCAGGTGATACATATCTCAATCAATTGGAAAATTTATAGTACAAGTTGAAGTTTCAAATTTACGCATGAAGTATAGATGGAGCAGATATTATTTATATTCATAAAGTTTCTCATTGATCGAGTTTGACAAAGTGAATATTTGTAACTCCAACTCCAAGACGATTCACTTGAAGAATTGAATAGAGGATGATGCAGTATCTAGAGTGATCTATCAATTACCCTGCTGTGGTAGATGCAGTGTGGATACTCTTTTCCATGATATAGGTTAGCAATTATGGTTTACACTACGTCAACCACATGCCATTTGTCATTTCTTTAGTTTCTGATCCCTAGATTGGAAGCTGACAAATTTGTGACTGACCGAGAAATGCTCCTATTTGATGCATCAAGCCTTTAATTCGTTTAACATTGGGGGGAGGGGGGCTTTTATTTGGGCAGGTTGATACTTTGGAAAGAGAGTAAACAATGGAAGTATGGAACTCAACCACAATCATTTTTTTTTTTTTTTATTTACATGAAAAAACAATTATCGTTTTTTGAAGGCATGGGCAATCTGTTTCTTTTCAGAGTATGGTGGAAGACTGAAACAAGAGGGAGAGAGATTTTCATGGCACACAATAATCGATGTTGCTAAGAGCCACGGCTACATGGGAAGCCATTAACTCTGGCACAGGAGAATCGATTTCTGTATTCTAAACAGCTGATGCATCATAGAGCATCTGTGGGAGCTCTACCCCTCTTCATGAAAATAAAAACTTTCTTTTGCAGAAAGAAAAATTATATGCAAAATGTGGGTCTGACTTCTGAGCATCTCTCTTTTTTTTTTCCTCTCAAAAGGGAAGCCTGGACAGATAGTCAGATGCAACTAATGCTTACGATTGGGGCTTTTGGCTCTCACTAGTGACTAGTGAGCCACAGAATGGAACTCAGTCTGTGTGCTCATGCAAGCTGAGCACAATGGTGGTGTAGCCCTACCCTACTAGGGTACCAGTACCATCTTGCACTCGGGATTTTTGAAATTCATGGAAGAGTAAGGTGGGGACTGGGTCTGCATTATCCACAGATTGCCATAAAGATGAGTTTGGGAACATCATTTTCAGTTTGAGCTGACCCCACTTTATCTGTGCCTAATCACTGTTACATTTACCCTGGCAACGCCCGGCAATAATGGTTCTGTAAGCCTTCCTTGTCCACATTACAAGATAGGGACTGAAGATTGAAGACTGTTGTTTTGTTTTTCATTTCTTTTTCTTTCAGATTCAGTAAGATGGTGACTGTTCAATCGTCTTCCAATTGTCGTCTACATGACAGACATACTTATGTTCCTGAGTTTGAAACTGGTTCATCATCACCCAAGGACTCCATTTGGAGCTTGCCATCTTTATGGACTCTTGCCCATATCTTATTTTTCCTTTGTTTGTCAACACTAGTCTACTTCGGATAATTGTATCTGAATGTCAACAACACCACCAAACAAAACGTGAATCTGTTGTAGTCTATTCACACATGAAAAAAATTTTCACCATGCTCTCTCTCTCCTCTCTCCTGTCATAACTCATAAACCAAGTTTTTGGGTTTAAAACTTTAAATGCATTTTACTCGAAGGCTGAGAATGCGCCATTGAAACATCTCCTTTGCACCCTTCAAATGCTTCCAAGAGGCAGCAACAAATGTGAAACCCTCTCTCCTCCTCAGGGCTCAGACTCGTCAGTCTGGCGAGAACCATTCACCTTGTCTCTCTCTGTCCTCTACAAATCAACCTCAGTGAAAAAAAAAGAGAACGAGAAAGATCAAGAAAAAAAAGAGACCCACTTCGGTATTACTGTCAACAAAAATCGGATCTACCGCAGATTAAACCAAAGACCAAAAGAAGACAAGATAAAGAAGATCCCGATGCAAAGGACCAAAGAAAAGGAAGTAGGGGGGAAGCTAAAGAGGAGAGGAAAGAAGGGAAAACGAGAGAGCCTCACTCGTGATGTGACGTGGCAAAATTCAAACCGTTAGCCTGGAGCTGGAGGATCATGCCCAACATGAGAATTGAGCAGTGAGCAGCACATCCTGTTAGCCACGTAACAAGAATATGGATGATTCTGTCGGCCAAATTTTTACAAAAAACAGGACAGGCTTACTAGGTTTTTGGCCTTTTGGGTGATTGATAAACCTCCAATTGGGCCTAAGTTTACAAATACGTGATACTCATTAGTCCACGTCAGACAACTATTTTTTTTTCTTTTGACTCACCCACGGATGACCTAATAGTTACTGAAAAAAGAAAGAACACCTGATGATAAATGCAGACTTGTAAAAAGCAACAGGCACCTATCCAATTCCAAATTGCTAGTACCCTTTTTCAGCTGTCGGTGTGATGATGGAAGAAGATCCTTACTGTATAAATCGAGAGATAATGTATCGAATTTGTCGGTAGACGATATTATAGAGGATAAATAGGGGAGAAGTTGCGCTTATAAGTTATAAGAGAGAGAGAGAGAGGCCTCGACGAGCGGACGAGGTAATCGTTTAGCTCTGTTATATAATATATACCCTAAAGGAATGCAAAGGCAAAGAAGATTGATAGAACACTATAGCTTTGCAGGCTTTGGTTTGCTTTGATCTTCTCTCGGAAAACTTGACACCCCAGGTGGGGTGGGGTGTGGACATGGGCGACGGTTGCTCTCTTAACAGTAACAATAACGGTAGCGATAACGATAATATCAATAAGAGTTGCAGTATTAATGCTATTGGAGGAAGCATGACTAAAAAGAAAACGAAGAAGAAGAAGAGTGGCGGTAAAAGGAAGAAGATGACTGTGGAACAGATTCTCGCTGCCAGATATGTGAACGAATGGGTTTTTCTAGATTCTAATTCGGCTTCTACTGCATCTTCTGTTGATGATTTTGGGGTGCAGAGTCATACTAAGTTTTCTGATAAGGTGGTGTTTGAACTGCATTCTCATTCGATTTGTAGTGATGGGTTCTTGTCTCCTTCGGTACTCGTTGAAAGAGCTCATAGAAATGGGGTGAGTTATTCTTTCTGGCTTTATTTTCTATGGTTGTTGTCCTTGAGTGAGTATACTAGGTAGATTTTGCTTCCGGATTGGTATTATGTCTTGTTTGTTATTTTGGTCTAGTTGAATGAATATCTGACATGGATTTTCTTTACTCACGAAGATTGTGGGTTATTTTAGCTATCTTATTTGGCATCTCAAATGGTTCACTCCATTTTTGTTGTTTGGCATTTTCTTTGCTTTTACTTTGGGCTCTCAGTATTGCTTTTGAAGTAGGCTTTCATTGCTTTTTGCTATGTTTTCTGCGTTCGTATTTCTTCTTTATGTTGTTATGAATGGATACCTGGTCGATAATTCCAATATATAGATTTGGTGTTTATGTTGTTTTTACTTATTAGTTATCTCAAGTTGCTGAGTGGTGATCATATTAGGTATTCCTTTCTCTGTTTGTTATTGTTTCTTAAGTGTATGCTGTTCATTGCTATGGCTGTGGAGATCTTTTTTTAATTCTTTTTTTTGTGCTTTGTTTATTTATTTTGTAGTACTGTGTGTGGATGTATGTTTCTTTTTTGTGTTCTTGGTTGTGTGTGTGTTGGGGGGGGGGGGTTACAAGGTTCTGTGCGTCTGAATTTACTTACCGGGACTTTGGATGGAGTACCTCTGGTTTTAAACCTCTTAAAGAAAAACTGGTTCTACATTTGATCTAGTAATTAAGACCTGTGTGTTGGGGGGGGGGTTACAAGGTTCTGTGCGTCTGAATTTACTTACCGGGACTTTGGATGGAGTACCTCTGGTTTTAAACCTCTTAAAAGAAAAAACTGGTTCTACATTTGATCTAGTAATTAAGACCTGTGATGTAGTAGGGCGATTGTGCAAGAAGAGATTGAATTAGCGCCTTATAATTTGCAATACTGTTATCAATTACTGATCCTATATAGAGAAGAGTTTTCAGTTGAGGCTGATTGTATTTGGGGTTGTGTGTTCCTCCAAGAATGAGGCTGCATTTGGTTGGTCTTGAATAAAGTGTTCATGAGTCATGATTGATCATTTAAACCATAGGGGCATTCTGATTCCGAACAGATGTGTTATGTGTAAGACAGAAGATGAACCACTTGTATAATTTGTTTCCTTTTTCCCTGGAGACCTCTGCTTTGAGGATTTTCTCCTCTTATACCAGTGCTGTGTGGATCTGCCTCTCATTGATTAGCACTGTTTTACTTTTTGACTATAAGATTTTGTTCAAGCATATCGAAGAGATAAAGCTTAGGTTTAGAACCAAGGACAATTGTTTGGATAAGTGGACTTTGGGCTTTGAAGCTGGAGGGCTTTAATAATCTTAAAATCAGGGTTTTCATATTTAACTGTCATGTTCTTTTCAGTGTAGAAGGTGGTGCACTAGGCCGGGGTCCTTCTTGTACATAACTAATGAAAATGTTTTGTTTACTCAAGAAAAAAAAAGTAAACAAATACAACCCTGACCTTGAATAGATACCACAAGAGAGCTCTAGTTAAGACTTCCTCCTTGCTGTTTTGCTGAACTTCTCTAAATGGTTAAATAAAATATTGAGATGAACCTCATAATTTTCTTTATGAGGGCCACCAAAGGCATCCTCATTGTTGTAATCCTTAAAGCCATTTTAAAGCAACAGGTAGGTGATGTGGAACCATAAAAAAACATTATAGTTGAGTTGCTTTTAAACACTTGTACAAGTCTTCATGAAATAAGTATATACTTGTTGACCCAAAATATAAATCGGACTGACTGGATGACATACAACCTGAGATCAATATTCAGATGCAAAAAACTCTGGTGTTTTGTCTAAATTCCCAAGAATGCCTTCAGATCAATGGCACAAACAGAACTTGCTACCTGTTGAGTTCCAAAAGAGTAGTATTCTTTGGACTGATCAAAATAGTCCTAAATTGTGGCTAGAAACTAATGAAATTTCTCAGCAGTCTTAGAGAAATTCTCTATATTAGCTAGTATATGAAAACTAGGTGTTTCAAGGATCTTTGAGCTCTTGTTGCATAACCCAAAAAACTCCTATATGGTGATCCAAGAATGTCATCCAAGTTGAGTTGTTAAACTTCCAGCTGAGATCCAAGTTAAGATATAAACAAAACCCAAATGTTTGCGCTAAAAAAAACCATAAAAGTTGAAGGATGTGACCAAATTAAAAAAAGCCCCCCCCCCCCAAAAAAAAAAAAAAATCAACAGTTAAACCTCAAAATTGAGCCAATTGGGTTTCTGAAAAGTGGGCAACTTTTGGACTGATTGGTACAGTCTAGAATACTCCAACAATTCTGAAAAAATCCACTCAAACTTTGAATTATGAAAAGAAACTAGCTGACATATTGTCTTCATTGAAAACAACACTTGTATGCATATGTACACAGATCTGAGCATTGCAGGTCTATCTTTGAAAAGGGCCATTACTCACAATGCTGGTTCCAGCTATCTGGTTTCTTGCAAGAGGCGAAGTGGATATGGACCAAACCTCTAGCATTTGTTTCCAAAAAGTGGCAGCTTGCATACTTGAACCTAAGTTCTTTGATTTTACTGTTGCATTATGCAATGGCCCCAATGATGTGTGTGTGTGTGTATGTTAGTGCTGTTGTGTATTCATTTTTGTGTCTTGGGGTAGTGGGCATTCATTTATGATTTGTTGGTCAGAGTCATGGATCTTATCTGTTTTGGGCAAAGGTCTTACATGTAAAGGAGTACAGACAGTTATTCTATTGGGTTGATTTATTGATGTCACTATTCTTCTCATTGGTGTTTTTTTACTCTCTGTCTCTCTCTCTATATATATATATGCTTTTCCTTTTTATTATTGAACTTTCATCATTATCAATTGTACAGACACATAAGCCTAGAAGACTGAGGTGTAAAACACTCTATGGTTGTATTTTGACTACTAACAACTGCGCAAAACTCTAGTTGGACTGAAACTAGATTTGATAAGAAAAAACCTGAACATCTCCTAATTAGACTCCAATTAGGACTGAAAATTGAAAAAAGTAAAACACAAAGTAAGACAAGCATAGGATGCTAGAAACAAAACTACGATGCATCCTTAGGTTCCTATTTTGATTCACAACAATACACTATCTACTTTCTCCCTTGACATAAAAAGAAATTCTGAAGCACTTAAAGATGGAAACCATAGTTGTCAAGGCGTTGCCTAGGCGACTAGGTGCCCTTGGCTGGGCGCCTTGCCCAAGCACCTTGACTTTTGGCAACTAGGCGCCTGCCTAGGCGACAAAAATGACAAGGCGGGCGCCTTTTATAATATCATTTATATTGTTGTATCTTATTAATGTATGTGTTAATACATTTTATTATATGCTATATATATCAATAGACTTTGTTTTAATGTTTTACTATTGAAATTCCAAAGAAGCTTCCATCAGAATTCAGTTTAATCCTATTACCATCAGGGGAGTAATCAGAAATTCTAAAAGGAGAATATTAGCATTGTTCTCTGGACCTATCGGCATGGGCAATTTTCTAAAAGCTGAGTTAATGGCTTTGCTACAAGGATTGAAGATTGCTAAGCAACTAGAGATGAGGCATGTTGAGGTTGAAGGGGGATCCAAGGTGATCATCTCTTGGGATAAAAACAATAGAACTACTCCGTGGACTTTCAAACAAGTGATAAGGGAAGTGGAAAAGGTCACAAGGGAGGTAGAGGCTGAATTTAAATGGGTTAGAAGGAGTGCAAATGAGTTAGCTGATTATCTTGCTAAACAAGGGGCTTTGAGGCACCAATTGTTTTGGACTGCATTGTAAAGAGGGACAGAAATATGTAATAGTGTGGGAGCTCTAACCCCATAAACAAAGTTGTAAAACTTTTTAACTCTAATTTCAAATAAAATTCTCCTTTGCTGATAAAAAAAATGTTTTACTATTGAAATTTAAAAGATCAAAGGGTTTTGAGGAGAGAAAAAGAAAGAAAAAAAGAAAGAAAGAAAGAGGAAAGAAAGAAAGAATAGAATTATAAAGAGGTTCTTTTTTTTTCTATTATCTCTCTCTAATCAAATAAAACAAAAATTCCACCCTTATTTTTTCTATTTTACTTTCCATCTTGAATATTTATCATATAAAGTTGACCTTCTTTAGCTGCTAATTGATATGAAATTCTCTATTAAATCCTTATTATAGCAGTATTATTTTTGAAAATAATTAAATTAATATATGTAAAATATTTTTTATCTTTTAGATGTGATGATTTGCCACTTTTTTACAGGAAATTTAATGTTCTTAATAAAGAGAATTGCTATTTTTTTTCAATTAATATACATGCTGAATGGTATATAAAACTAGGGAACTAGCCAAAAGTTAGATTTTTATATTATAAAGTTTTTATTGCTTAGGTGTCGCCTACGCGACTAGGCACCCTAGTGTCGCCCTGCATTGCCTAGGCGCCTTGAAAACTATGATGGAAACATAATAAGTTTACTATTGAAACTTAGGTAACTGCGACTTAGGAAAATATTCCTTGATCCTGTTCTTTTGTGTTTTCTTTTTAAGGCCTTCTCTCTTTTCACCCTATCACTACATAGACTTTTGCAGTAAATATTTGGAATGGGCTAGTTCCACCTAAAACTAGGTTTTTTTTTTTGAGGATATTTCACTTGAAAATTAACACTTGTAAGACCCTTTAAAAGAGAAGACCTAGCTACCTAATAGCTTTTGTCTCCTCAAAGTGCTTTCTTTTTAATGCAAGCTATGAATCAACCTTCGTATTAATAACCTACCTGTCTATATCTAGCATTTGGGAATGTCTTCTCTCTCTCTCTCTCTCTATTGTTACAGATGGGCTCCTCTAGGAGATTGTGAAAGTCTCTTTAAGGATTCTTTCTACATCTTATAAAGAGAAGTGGGAAGATAATATGGACTTATGGAGGTGCACAAGAGCAGCTACCTTATGGTGAGCTTGGGAGGAAAAGGAATTATGGAGTCATGCCAGTAGTGTTGCATGGACATGGACTTGTGAATCAAAATCCAA